TTGCTTTGGCCCCCCTACGCTGGAGAGCAAGTTTCAGAGTCTCTTCTGACATCCATCTTGATCTTTTCCTTCTTTCTTGTCTTCTTAATGACTTTAAGAAGCTAACTTTAAAACTTTCTAAAATAAAAGTAGTGGTGGTGGTGGTGGTAGTGTGCCATGGAATCAGTTCTGACTCATAGTGACCCTGTATCAGGTTTTCAAGGCTGTAAATCTTTATGGGAGCAGAAACCTCATCTCTCTCCTAGGGAACAGCTGGTAGTTTCGAACTGCTAACCGTGAGATTAGCACCCTGACTCAAAACCACTACATTTCCAGATAAATGTTCCACTTAAACTTAATTTTTGGTATTATCCTTCCAAATTTAACAATGTATACATGACACTATATGTACACAGGAGTCCTGGTGTGGTTTGGTACGGTAAGTACCTGACCACAAGATTGATTTGAACCAAAAAGTGGAGGTTCAAACTCACCAACCACTCCTTGGAAACCCTATACAGGGTCACTATTAGTTGGAACCAACTTGACTTGATTGATAGTACTTAACAACATCAACATGCACAGCACACATGTATACATACAGATAATTTTCAAAATTATTTTAAACTACAAATTTAAAATCATTATTATGATAATGTAGGTAATAGAAGCATAGATTCACTTCACTTATCAGTTCCTGGTGTGGCACTGTAAGAAAAGCACTAAACTGCAAGGTTGGTTTGAACCACAATGTTGGTGACTGAAATTCACCAGCTGCTCCTTGGAAGCCCTATACAGGGTCCCTGTGAGTTGGAACCAACTCAAAAGCACTTAACAACTTATAAACTTCAGTAATAGTGTTTTTAAGGCATGAGGGATTAATGGGGCCGCTGCAATTATTATATTCATGTTATATTACTAATTCAGTGCAATTAATATAGCTAAAACAGTGTTAAACTAAAGCATTTGAAGTTGAAAACTGTTTTTATATATTTTATACAGTAAACACATGACAAAGTACACTTGTAGAAATAACTAAATAAACTTAAAATTTTGCTATATTTATGTTATGAATATATATTATATTCACTAATAGCTATTTCTTTTATATAAGTAAACTCACTGAATCATCACAAAAACCTTAAACAGCAAACTACTATTTCCTGAAAAGAGCTGGATAAAACTGAGAAAGAAAAGTTAAGTGACTTAACCAAGTTTACAGAGCAAGTCAAATGCCAGAGTCAGGATTCAGACATTTTAAAAATACTTACCAGCCTGACAAAAATAAGCTAAAGAGGCTTTTCCTGGTTGCAATGTACTGAAATATTTCTGAGGACTCAGTTCTGGTAGAGGGACTACTGATGACTTGTTAAAAATGCACATTATGACCAAAGAGAATCCAATTCTAAATATACTGAAGCTAGAAAACATCATCAGCAAGAAATTGTATCTGCTTTCTTCACTGCTGTGCTTCTACTGTCTAGGAAAATCCTTAGACAAGAACCAGGTGTCCAAGAAAGTTTTGTTGAATGCATTAAATGAATGAATGAAGTAACATCTGCAAAAGAAAAAAAAAGTTAAGGCACTTAAATTATTTGGATTTTGCTATTATATTAATGTTTGCAGTAAAAATTTCAGGGAGATAGCCAATAATGACACAGATTTGATAATATGATTTTTTTTTTTTAACTTTCTATTATGAATCAGATGAAGGTTTACAGAACAGATCAATTTTCTATTTAACAATCATTTTGTCTAATCCCACTGAATGCAATCCCCACAATGTAATAAGGTATCCCACTCCTGTGTGTTTCCTGTCTCCAGTCCTCTCTTCCTAATCCTTCGGAACACTGTCATCAGGTAAACGTTGCCCTTTCGATCACAAATGGTTGATTATAAATACTAGAGATTTTTGATCCTTGCAAAATATTTGAAAGCTATCTAGAAAATACAACACTAAGTGTTTCAAGTTTTATAGCTATCTACCAGAATATGTCATTTTTAAGGGTTCTAAAATAAATTCTCAACATTATCAAATCAATTTTTTTTACCTACAACTGACTTAAAGTTAATATCTAAATTACTTAATCCCATTAGCATAGGAATGAAACATCCAAAACATATGCATAACAATTAAGTGTTCACTGCTAACCAAAAGGTTGAGGTTCCAATGTACCTCCATAGGAATAAGACTTGGCAAGCTGCTCCTGTTAAGATAACTACCTTATGGAGCAATTCATACAGGGTCACTATGAGACGAAACTACTCAGTAGCACCTAACAACATGTTTGCATACTTTTTACTTTAAATTTCCTAGGAGATGAGAAGGAATGTCAGGATAGCATAAGACCAGGCAGTGCTTAGTCTTGTTGTACACAGGGTCAGTATGAGTCAGAATTGACTCAATGGCATCTAACATCAACAACAAGAGATAGTTACTGACTACTTATGAATAGGCTTTCTAAATATACACATCTTTAATGCTTACTATGTCAATTTCTTCACACAACTTAGAAATACAAATATATTTAAAACCTAAAAAAATGTATGCCATTTTTCAACTCATATTTAATTCACTCCCATTTTCTGGACTCAGGTTTGTTCTATGTATCATCCTCTCATGATATACTGAATTCGATGCTGTTCTTTCCATCTGCTATCAGGTATCTTCTAATTTCAAATTTCTCTTGAAAAATTTCTTGTTTTCAGCAAGTTTTTCTACTGATAACATATATTTTCTAAGTTTAAAAGAAGAAAGTACAGAAAAATTGTTAAGTACCATCAAGTCAATTCTGACTCAGAGCAACCCTTGTTTAGGATTTCCACAGTTGATTATCTTTAGGAGAGCACAGAGACTTATCTTTCTCCTGAGGTGCAGCTGGTGGGCTCAAACCACTGACTTTGTGTTTCTCAGTCCTGTATCTTTCGAGTGCCGCAAGAAAAAGCAATATAGGCAACAAGAAGAAATAGTAAAAATTATTTCTATAGACTAATAAGAATGGGGTAGAAGTACTTTATAAAGAATAAAATTAATGGATTAAGGTAATGATCCTATTAAATTGGATATTTACTCTGGTCATTCAGTATTATCAATAAGCATGGAAAACGTCTACCTAAGGACCAAGTATTCCTAAAATAGAAGCTAATGATTCAGTGGTTACTGCCCAATAATTCAGTTTATAAGAGCCTCTTTAGTAGTCCCTGGGTGGCACAAAGCACTAAACAACTAGCTCAAAGGTTGGTGGTTCAACCCACCCAGGAGCATCTCAGATGATACACCTAGGGCTCTGCCTCCAAAAGACACGGTCCTGAGCACCATATGAAGCAATTTCACTCTGCACATATGGAGTCACCAGGAGTCAAAATCAGCTCATTGACAACTAACAACAACAAAGCTGGTTTATATCAAGCAGTGAACAAATGTGCCACCAATTTTTAACACCGAATCAAGAGTTCAAAAACTAGGGAGTGAGCATTGTGAGAAGTATATAAAATGTAATGTTAATGATATAATTAAAGGGTATCTTTGACATTAAAATTGCTTGTACATTATAGCCATTTCAAACCAGTCTACTTTAAAGTCACTTTATATGAATGCAGATAGTTTAAAATACATCATCTACTATTTTCTCTATAGTCTCTGGGAATGCATGTACTGTTGAGGCTATAGTTACTACTATGTAACATTCATTATTACATGAAATAAATGCAACCTAATTAAACTCTCAACATTTAAGTAAAAGAACAAATGAAAGATTCCAGTATAAAAATTTTTTCCCAGCCTTCTGGTTACAGTTCAAATATTTTAATAGTTAATTGGGCATTAGTATTAACACATTGTTCTTTTTCCCTTGTATTCTGTGGTACCAAAAGATCTAACCACACATCTGATGCTTGAATACTTCCCCACATCTTGTATCTCTTTACACAGATGAAATGCACAATTCTTTCACATATATAATCTCATCAATTTTTGAGGCAGCAAACCTTTTGCAATCTACTCTTTATTCGATAAGATTTGACCATTTTTTGAAATTACATAAAGCAGAGAATACTACGGTCTGGTTAAGCTAGGACTAAAACTCACATGGCCATAATACAATTATCACTGAATAATGGCCTAAACAAACCCATCACAGCACAGTTGGAAGACACACAGGAATATGTGGTTGGGATAGGAAAAAAGGAATGGAAGCTCTAAATCATTCTCTTTCACAAGACCAAAAACCATGTTTTTAGTAAATGCAATAAATAAATAAAAGACCAGTAAGCAGTTGAAACTAATTGCCTGTAAGAAAAAGGAATTTGGGGAACAAGGGTTGAAAATGTCAAGGGAATTGGTAAAGGCATATAAAATCATAATGTACATTTTTATTTCAACTTTAAAAAATGTACTACTTGAAAGTGATCAACGCTTCCATAGCTTCTACTCATATCAATCCAATCTACCTCTGTGATGTTAGATGCCATCAACTCTGCTCCAAATCATAGTGACCCAATGCACAGCAGAATGAAATACTGCCTGGTCGTGGGGCATCACTAATAATTGTTACATTTGAGCCTGCTGCTACTGCCACTGTATCTCCCACCCCTGGGATATCTTCCTCTTTTTGCTCTCCACTTCACCAAGCACGATGTCCTTCTCTAAAGCCTGGTTCCTCATAATATGTCCAAAATATGAAAGGTGAAGTCTCACCATCCTGGCTTCTAAGGTGTTTTCTGGTTGTACTACTTCCAACAGATTTGTTTCTTCTTCTGGCCATTCATGGTACTTTTAATATTCTTCTCCAACACCATAATTCAAATGAATCAGTTCTTCTATGGTCTATTCACTGAGCAACTTTCACATGTATATGAGGCGACTGAAATACCATGGCTTGGGTCAGGCACACTTTAGTCTTAAACTGGTATCTCTGCTCCTGAACACCTTAAAGAGGTCTTCTGCAGCAGACTTGCCTAAGACTTGATTGCTATAGACTGCTGCTTCCATGAAAAGTTGTATCACATGCATATTGCTGGTTGTTAATGAGTCTTCCTCTAATCCTGATGCCATTGATGAAAACATTATTCTTCTCAGATTATTTGCTCATAATACAAATTGAAAAAGTATGGTAAAAGGATACAACCCTGGCACACACCTATCCTGATTTTAAACCATTCATTATTTCCTTGTTCTGTTCAAGTGCCTGCCTCTTAGTCCAAGTACAGTATTTTCAAATACCCATTCTTCACATTGTTATCCATAGTTTGTCACAATGCACTGTCTGAAGTCTTTACATAATCAATAAAACACAAGTAAACATCCTTCTGGTATTCTCTGGTTTCAGCCAAGAGCCATCTCACTTACGCAATGATATCCCCTAGTTCCATGTCTTCTTCTGAATCTGGTCTGGTATTCTCTGGTTTCAGTCAAGAGCCATCTCACTCTAGCAATGATATCCC